TAATGTGCTCTTGCCTCACGCCTTTGCAGTGGCTATTCCTCTTGCCTAAAAAGCTCTTCTCCAGACATTAGCATGACTCTTCAAATCTTTGCTCAAATGTCACATTATGATGAAGGCCTATACTGACCATCCTATTTAAAATTGTTCCTTCCACTTCTGCCTCACCCTATTTTTTTTTATTGTTTATCTTTATTGTTGAAAGTATTACAGATATCTCTTTTCCCCCCATTAATCCCCTCCACCCAACATCCCCCCAGCCCCCAGGCCTACTTCACACTATTGTCTGTATCCATGGGTTATGTATATATGCATATAAATTCTTTGATTAATCTCCACCACCCCCCTTGGCCTAGCCTCTAAAACTCATCAGACTGTTCAATGGTTCTATGTCTCTGGATGATTTTGTTCATCAGTTTATTTTGTTCATTAGATCCCACATATGAGTGAGATCATGTGATACTTGTTATTCTCTGACTGGCTTATTTCACTTAGCATAATACTCTACAGTTCCAGCTATGCTGTCCCAAAGGGTAAGAGATCCTTCTTTTTTTACAGCTGCATAATATTCCATGGTTTAAATGTACCACAGCTTTTTTATCCATTCATCTACTGATGAGCACTTGGGCTGTATCCAGATCTTAGTTATTGTAAATTGTGCAACTATGAACATAGGGTTGCACAGATTCTTTCTAATTGGTGTTACAGGGTTCTTAGGATATATTCCTAGAAGTGGAATCACTGGGTCAAATGGTAGTTTGATTTTTAATTTTTTGAGGAACCATAATACTGTTTTCCATAGTGGTTGCACCAGTCTGCATTCCCACCAGCAGTGTACTAGGGTTCCTTTCTCCACATCCTCACCAGCACTTGGCATTTGATGATTTGTTGATGGTCGCCATTCTGACAGGTGTGAGGTAATATCTCATTGTTGTTTTAATTTGCTTCTCTCTGATGATAAGTTATTTTGAGCATTTTTTCATTGCAACAAGAAAAATAAGATACTTAGTAATAAACCTAACCATGGAAGTAAAAGACCTGTACCCCGAAAAATACAGGACATTGAAAAAAGAGAGGAAGATATAAACAACTGGAAGAATATACCATGGTTATGGATTGGTAGAATTAACATCATTAAAGTGTCCATACTACCCAAAGCAATCTATAAATTCAATGCAATCCCTATTAAAATGCCAAGAGTATATTTCACAAACCTAGAACAAACACTCCAAAGTTTAATATGGAACCGAAAAAGATCCTGAAAAGCCACGGCAATCTTGAGAAAGAAGAACAAAGTTGGTTGGATCACTATACCAGATATCAAGTTATACTGTGAAAGCCCTGTAATCAAAACGGCCTGGTACTGCCACAAGAACAGGCATATATAGACCAATGGAACAGAACAGAGGACCCAGAAATCGACCCAAGCCTTTATGTTCAATTAATATTTGACAAACGAGGCAAGAGCAGACAATGGAGTAGACAGTCTCTTCAATAAATGGTACTGGGAAAATTGGACAGGTACATACAAAAAAATGAAGTTAGACCACCAACTCACACCATACACAAGAATAAACTCAAAATGGACAAAAGACTTAAATGTAAGACATGAAACCATAAAAACCCTAGAGGAAGACATAGGCAGCAAAATCTCAGGCATCTCTCGTAGCAATATGTTTGCTGATACATCTCCTAGGGCAAGAGAAAAAGAGAAAAGAAACAAGTGGAACTACATCAAACTAAAAAGCTTCTGCACAGCAAAAGAAACCATCAACAAAATGAAAAGTATGCCCACTGTATGGGAGAACATATTTGCCAATGATATATCTGATAAGGGGTTAATTTCCAAAATACATAAGGAACTCATACAACTTAACAAAAAGACTAGCAATCCAATTAAAAAATGGGCAAAGGACTTAAACAGACGCTTCTCCAAAGCGGACATACGGATGGCCAAGAGACATATGAAAAAGTGCTCAATACCTCACCCTATTTTATTTCCCCAAAGCACTTATTACCTTCAAACATACTATTTAAATTGTATTTATTATTCTTACATTTACTGTCTGTCTTTTCCCACCTTTTCCCCCTAAAACATAAACTCCACAGTTGTAGCAAGATGGTTCTAAGATTGCCCTAGTGTACACACCTTGTATAACACCTCCTCTTGAGTGAGGACAGAATCTATAAATATAATGGGATATCACTCCCAGGATTATGTTATGTTAATGGAGGGGATTTTGGTAATATAATAAAAGTTACTAATTAGCTGATTTTGAATTAATAGAAAAGGAGATTATCCAGGTGGGCCTGAATTAACCACAGGAGCCATTTAAATCTGGGTTTAGAGGTCAGAGACAGAGTAAATGAGAGATTCCAAACAAAAGAGGGTCTACTAAAGGGCCACCTGGTGGGAAAGAGAACTTGGCTTCTAGAAGCAGAGAACCACTCCCCAGTTGGTAGCCAGCAAAAAAGCAGACACCTCAGTCCTACAATTGCTAGTAAACGAAATCTGCCAACAGCCCGACTAAGTGTGTAAGAGAACTATGAACCTCAGATAAGACGGCAGCACCAACTGACATCTTGATTTCAACTATGTGAGACCTTTAGCAGAGAATCTAGCTAAGGCAAGCCCAGACTTCTGACCTAGAGAAACTAGATGATGCTAAGTGGGCGTTGGTTTAAGCCACTAAATTTGTGGTCATTGTTATACAGCAGCAACAAACAACAGTGTAGAAATTTTGCCTATTTTCATCACTGAGATATATCCTCAAGATTTAGAATATGCCTGGCATATAATAGGCACTTGATAAATATTTACTGAAGGAATGTAAGTGGCATTAATTTAGTCTTAGGAACATCTCACCACATTCTCCTTATTTTTCATATGTTGCTTCAAACCTGTAAAACTTTCATACGCTACAAAAAAATATTTAATTAACTAGAGCCAGAGTTCTGTTCAGAGATACGTGTCTGAGGGTAAACAAAGGCCTTATCTACAAATTCTAATAGGTGCTGTAAGGACTTCTGAGGCTTTCTGATAAGCTTGGGGTTTCACGTCCCAACAATCTTCCAGGCAAACTCAAAAGCATCACAATAGCTCTAGTTTTGCTAAACACAGGGGTGCTCTGATACAAAAAAAAATTTTTTAAACCCGATCATAAGAAAATTTAAGCTTATAATATAAACAAACTCAGCAGAGTTTATTTATACTGTAAAAATGATCTCTAACTTTATAAGAGTATCCAGGGAAATATTGTCTTCAAATATCCATTTAGCATGATATAAAAACATACTCTAATCTGTTAAAGTGGTACAGTCTATGCATTCATTCAGCAAACATATATTGAGCACCTACTATATACTAGATGCTTAGGATCAAGTGGTGAACAAAAGAATCCATTAAGTTTACTCTAAAAGGGAAACAAATATTAAACCAATTCATAATTGCTTATATAAACCGACATGTGCATGTAAGTACAAAGTGCTAGGCAAGATCAGGAAAGGGGGCTATAATTTGAACTGTGAGCTCAGAGAAGGCCTGAGGCTGAATAGGAGGTAGCCAGATGGAGGAAGTCACAATAACCCAAAGAGTGAGGAAAATAAGGATCATCTTATGGTGCTGTTATTAGGAATCAATGAACAGGAATGTAGGCACTTTATTTAGTTGCTGCCCCTTAAAAGTTTTTGATACAGCTGAATCCACTGTTCACATGTACTGCTCAGCTCCCAAAAAGAGCTCAGGAGAGTTCTAAGACTCCTTTTAAATACCCAGTAGTTGAAGAGGGCTACACACAGAGAACTATTTTGAATGCAGTGGTTTTCATTTATAAAAACAAAAACAAAAAACAGTGCCCTGCACAGTATAAAAGTTCAAAATATAGTGTCTATATTTTTTTACTGATTTTTAGCCCCTGGTGGTGCTTGAAGATATCTATGTAACATTTCTGCTCCATTAAGCACTCAGTGCTGAGTGCTGAGGTGGGGAATGCCCTATGGTGAACCTGGGCAAGTACAGCCCTCTCATAGCCTATAAACAAACACCAGGCATGCTGTATATGTGTTTATTGTCTGTCTCTTCCCACTAGAATGCAAGCTCCATGAGGACAGAAATGTTCACCTGCTCTGTTCACTGCTCTATTCTTGGCACCTAGAACAATGCCTGGCATGTAGTAAATTAAGTGAATGAATGATTTCTGACCAATGTTCTTTTCATATTTACTTGATTGCTTGTTTTGTTTTGTTCCTATCTTTGGAATAGAATGATGAATGAAAATAGACTAGATCTTGTATTCAGGTGTGCAAATGAAGGAATTGCTTCCTTACAGTTTTCCCCTCTATTTTTGCCATTTGCTGGGCCATGGTGCACAACTGTTTGCTGCTTCTCTGCAAGAGAACTGTACAGCCCCACCCATTGCCACAGAGCTTTATGGGCTTATGTGGGCAAAGTATACCCTCCCCCCACCACTCCCTTATGAAGGTTAGCTGCATGGCTGCTTTGCAACAGGAATGTGAGTCCATGAGGAAAATGAGAGCCACACCACATCCTAGCAGGGCTCTGAAACTGATGGTGTGGTGGGCACTTGTATCTTGCTCTTTTCCTTTGCTTAGAACAGTATGCTCCATATCGGGGCTGCTCCTTCAGTCTGGACCCGAGACTTAAGGCCCCAGTCCATCCAAAGCCAATATAGAATGGGTGAGAAATAGATGTGTATTATTGTAGGCCACAGAAATTTGGGTGCCATTGCTATAGCAAAGCTAATACACCAATTACTAACTATTTGACAGAGTAAGAATTAAGGAGAGATGGAAAAACTTAGGAAAGGTGTCTACAAAAGTTCACTAGAGAAGAAATAAAGATTATGTCTCAAATGACAATTTAAATAAATGGAAAAAGGAGTCCATTCACAAAAACTATACACAGTTCTCAGGAACATATATTTTACAGAAGTCTACATGCTGATACTTTATTAAAATTCTTTAAGAATGCTAGAAAGTCAAACCTTGAAATGAATTGAAGAAGGTTACAATGTTAGGATGTTTCATCTTTGCCAGGAGAATGACTTCTTTCTTTGAAGCTTCTTTTTCTTGGATGGACATCTAAATTATATTAAGAGACAGAACAGTCTGTAAAGATAACTTGCTTTTAAGAACATGTTTCCTGCTCACTCCTATTGTAATAGTGTGGAATTGTAACCCAACCCACCATTCTTTCAACATTGTTTATGTAAATTCTACTCTGACTAATATGTAGCTTGTAGATAAACAGCACGTTTGTATACGAATCCTAGAAACCAATTTCAGAAACCAATTTCAGAGGATGCAGAATCCAACCTTCAGTCATCCCAGTTTCAGGAGATTTGCTGATTTTCAACCATAAAACCAGGATGATGAAGACCAGAATGATGTACACCAGGCCATCACTTGACCAGTTTCAAGATCCTTATTGGAATAGACTGTACTGGACTGCACATAGAGAAGTTTTAAACTCCCTCCCCTTGATCACTTTGTTCTGCTTTCCCTCTCTCTCCTGATAAAAACCTCTGCCTGCAATGAAATGTTGAGATGGGCTTTGCAACAGGAGACCCCATCTTCTCAGGTGTCCAGCACTTGAATAAACCATTTTCCTTTTCCACCAGCATCTGGCTCATGAGTTTGGTTTATGTGGCAGCAGGCAGCTGAACCTTGGTTTCAGTTACACTATCAAAAATTCTCCAGGATTTCACTGACTTTTAATGGCACTTCTGAAATCAATCTCTCAACATCAGAAAACAAAATTTCTAGAATCAGCAAAGTGCCCTATGTCTAATCAATGGTTTGTCACTATAATAAACAAAGAATAAATATTTCTGGTGAACTTTTGCTGTATTAAAAGTTCAGTTGGACAAGAAAAAGCTGAAGGACTTCATTACCACCAAACCAGTATTACAAGAAATGCTATAGGGTCTTCTTTAAGAAGAAGAAACTATAAAAAAGAAAATATCACAAAGAAAAAAAATCTCACTGACAAAGGCAAACACATAATAAAAGAAGTGGAACAACCAACACTAAAGCTAGTACAAAGGTTAAAAAGCACAAGTAGGAAGATCAGGTATAATTACAACAGTAAATTAAGGGATACACACAAACACACAAAAAAGAAGTAAAAAATAATCACAAAAACATAAACATGGAAGGGGTGAGTAAAAACGGTAGTGATTCTAAAATGTATTCGAACTTAAGCAACCATCACTCTAAAATGGACTGTAATAAACATAGCTTGCTATATACAAAGAACATGGTAACCACAAATCAAAAATCTACAAGAGATATACAAGAAATAAAGAAAAAGAAATCTAAATACAACACTTAGGCAGGTCAACAACATACAAGAGAAGAGAGCAAGAGAATAAGAAAAGAGCAGAGAAGAACTACAAAAACAATCAGAAAACAATAAAATGGCAATAACTACCTACCCATAAATAATTACTTTAAATGTAAATGGATTAATGTTCCAATCAAAAGACAAATAGATAAAGATGTGGTACTTACATATAGTGAAATATTGTTCAGCCATAAAGAAAAATGAAATCTTACCATTTGTGACAACATGGATGGACCAAGAGGGTATTATGCTAAGTGAAATAACTCAGAGAAAGACAAATACCATATATTTTCACTTATATATAGGATGTAAAAAACAAACTCAGATACAGAGAACACACAGATGACTGTCAGATGGGAGGGGCATTGAGGGACTGGGTGAAAAAGGGGAAGGGATTAAGAAGTATAAATTAGCAGCTACAAAATAGTCACAGGATATAAAATACAGCTCATGAAATGTAGCCAATAATATTGTAATAACTATGTATGGTGTCAGGTTGGTACTAGACTTACAGGATGATTACTTCGTAAGTTATATAAATGTCTAACCACTATGCTGTACACCTGAAACTCATATAATATTAAATGTCAACTGTAATTGAAAATCTTTAAAAATGTTTTTAAAAGTTCAGTTGGGTTGGTGAGATACTATGTTAATTATTTAGGCATCTAGAGGAAAGTTACTTTAATATTTATCTTTCAGCAGCAGAGGAATTCTTTATAAAAATGCAATGGTCCAGCAGCAATCACCACTGAGAAGAAACAAATGAAATCTAAAATATGAAAAGGTACCCAGCCAGTATGGCTCAGCAGTTGAGCATTGACCTATGCTCCAAGAGATCGAGGTTCAATTCCTGGTCAGGGCACATGCCCGGGTTGCGGGCTCGATCCCCAGCATGGGGCATGCAGGAGGCAGCCGATTAATAACTCTCTCATCATTTATGTTTTTCTCTCCCTCTCCCTGCCTCTCTCTGAGATCAATAAAGACATTTTTTTTTTATTTTAAAAATATGAAAATGTGTCATATATCACATAAATCAGACCAGTAAAGTTCTTTATTAGGATTACCACAGTTTTCATTTTCAAATAAAAATTCTCTTGTGACTTCATTTTTTAAATTTTTTAATCCTCACCTGAGGATATATTTATTGATTTTTAGAGAGAGAGATCTATGTCAGAAACATTGATCAGTTGCCTCTTGTATGAACCCTGTCTCAGAATCAAACCCACAACCTAAGTATGTGCTCTGACCAAATCTCAAACCCACACACTTTTGGTGTACGGGACAATGCTCCAACCAACTGAATCAGCCAGCCAGGGTGTGACATCCTTTATATTTGCTGTATTTTCTTATTATTCTATTTATCATCTATGGACAGCACTTTTCAAGTGTTTTGGCACCAATGGCAGTGGCCATACCTCATTTCTCCCTTTCCTCCCTCATCTTGGCACTCTGCCAACTTGTCATTTGTACCCTAACTACCAACCCAGCTGCCTCATTTTTCTGGCCTCCATAAATTACCTGTTCCTCTCCACTGCTCCCTCTGTAATGTTTTCTATCACTGGCCCACACATAATGTGTATGAGTTCCCAAATCTCTCATCTCATTTAGGAATAATTTTTTTTTTTTAAAATTAACACTCTCAATCCCAGCTAAACTGCCTCCTAGCTATGTATGTGTCCTTCAATAAGCTATTTAACCCTCTAAGCTTAGGTATTTTTCAACCCAATTTAAATTGTATAGACAATACATAGACGTTTCAAAACAAAAATTACTGAATTATTCCTACCAGACTGATAGATTTAGCTCCTTAAAAAAATTTTTAACCACTATTTTTCATAAGAATATTATAAACAGTCCTGGCTGGTTTGGCTCAGTGGTTGGAATATTGGCTCCCAGAGGACTGACAGGTCCTGGGTTTGATTCCAGCCAAGGGGATGTGCCTTAGTTGCAGGCTCAACCCTCGCCCAGGTCAAGGCAAATGCAGGAGGAAACCAATCAATGTGTCTCTCACATTAATGTTTCTCTCTCTCTCTCTCTCTCTCTCCCTTCTACTTTCTCTGAAAAAGCAATGGAAAAAATATCCTCGGGCAAGAATTAAAACAAACAAACAAACAAAAAGAATATTATAAACAAAATTAAAAGTAAACATAAGTTAGGTAAAAACATACTGGCAATATATTTGAAGAAGATATTGTATTTGTAATATATAAAGAATTCTGCCTATAAGAATTAATTAAAAATTGATTGTTGCAAACACCAATAGAAATACGGTAAAATGCATGAATAGGCAATTAGCAAGAATTAAAAGAAATAAAAATGGCAGGTAAACAAAAAAAATTCAGCTTCACTCAGTAATTAAAAAATAAAAGCTAAAACTAAATTTGATATAATATTTCATCTGTGAAATCAGCAAAGACAGTAAGAATGTTTATATCCACTGTTAGCCAGAAAGCAGCAAAATGGACACATATACTTCAGGTGTAAGTCTATAAATTGGTAAAATCTTTTTGGGAAGGCAATTTTACAATAGGAAATAAACTTTAAAATGTTCCCATTTTTGACTTATTAATTCTTCTGGGAATTTATCCAAAGAAAATAATCAGAAATGTCCCCTAGGATTCTCATACAAAAGCCATCATTACTGTGTTTTATTATTAGTTTTTTTAATTACTCTAAAAATACATGCTTGTGATTTTTAAAAATATTTTAAGCCAGGCAGAGGTAAATAAGATAAAAGTGAAATTTCCCCTTTTCCTCCCCACCCATTCCATGCATTCTTATTTTTTAGAGATAATTGCCATTAATTGTCAGATCCTTTTTATTTAATTCATATATACACATAAACATACTCTCAAAATCACTTGGACTTGTGTTGTGAACTCTTTCCTGCACAAAGTCAAGAAACCACATACTACAGGCTGGCCTGAGGCAGACTCGCTCCAGGTCAAATCCCAGTCCAGCGACAATATGAGAAAGTATTCACAATATATTGCTACATGTAAAAAGCTGCTATAAAAGACTATATCTACTATGACACAAATCATTCTAATAACTTATAAAAGTGCTACATTTATGCAATAAAAATAGCCTGTAAAGCAATTCACCATAATATTACTAGCAAATAAGAGAGAACTTATAAGCGATTTTTATTTTCCTCTAAATGGACTTATTATCCCTGTTGATTCTTTTCAAAATTTCTATGATAAAATTTTTAATTTTTATAATCAAGAAAACAACACTTTTATGAGGCAAGAAATAAAAAATAATGGGATGATGATGATAGAAAATGTTAGTTTTTTTGGTTTCTGGTCAATATGGCAGAATAGGTATGAGCTGGTCCCAACCAACATGTAGCAGTTAAAAATCTGGGAGGGATATTTTGGCTTCTGTTTCCCCCTGAGAAGTGAGGGTTCCCACTCCCACACCAGGCTCCCCAGCCCAGGGTTCCCTTGCCAGGAAAATAAGTCCCCGTAACTTCTGACTATGAAAACCAGTGGAGATTGTGGCTGAGTGAGACAGCTGTTTGAGTCCCAGGTGTTGCTCTTAAAGGGCCTGCTCACAGACTTATTCGCTTATGGATTCACTTGCTCTGAGCTCCTGCACTGGGGTGGCAGCTTGAAAGCTGTCAGGGCCATATGGAGAGGAACTGAATTTCCTAGCTTTGGAGTGAAGGCGGGAAGGGCAGCTTTCTCCCAGACAGAAGTGCTAGCAGAGGCTATTATTCCTTTGTTGA